GATCCTTTTCAAACCACAAAGACGAGCTGCAACAGGGACCCTGTGCTTCCAAGTCCCTAGCATTACTGCTGGCCTGGCCTCTTTGTCCTGGTGGGGGCAGCAGTCACATACACAGGCCCTCCCACCCACAGAACGCCAGGAAGGAAGGGACATGGATTCTCAAGCCAGAAGCAAATTAGGCAAAAGGGAGTCAAGAAGCAGGCACATTCTCTAGACACATTCAAATTAACAGCAGTCCTAGCTCCTTCTTTAGTGAAGTGTTCCAGAATGCTTCATTCTGTTCCAAAACACATCAACTTTCCTGAGCCAGAGAAACCTTATAAAAATGTGATTTAACACCAGGTGTGATGGCGCACACCTGTAATCCCAGCACTCGGGGGGCTGAGGCAGGAGGACTGTTGCAAGTTCGAGACCAGCCTGGGCTACAAAGTGAGCTCAAGGCCAACCTGAACTGCATCGCAGGACTCTGCCTCAAAAACACACACAAAAAAATTTGATCTAGACTCTGTTTTCATTCTGTCTGATCTGTTCACTCGGCCTCTTGTTCATCAGTCAACCCAGAGGTGGCCACAAAACTCTAAAGGGGTGATGATGGAGATAATGTGAGGTCTGGGTGACTTTTTGATGGCCTCACAATTACTCAAACTGATTACTTATCCAGTCAATCACCTAAGGGAAAAACAAAGTAGTAACCATTCTGTTGCCACCACATCCCTGGAATTGAAAAGGCAAATTAAGCTGTTCCATAAAAGAAAAGGCAGAACAGACAGCAACTCACACGAGAGGCTATTAGGAAACACAAGATTTAAGAATCAGGCTGGGATTGTAACTCAGTGAATAAGCATGTGTTTAGCATGCACAAAACCCTTGGTTAAATGTGCTTGTGCATGTGCACACAAACACACACACACACACAAATCATACTTGGAAAGGGCTGAGCAGGAACAGGGTTAGAGGTACGAATCACCAATTCTTCAGACCTAGAAGAAGGAAGAACCTTCTGCCTCCTGAAATCCCTTGCCGAAGTCCTCTGAAAACGGAGAAAGTACACTGATAAAAGATACAGTCAATAGGATGCTTACTTCCCCAGGAGCTGTGAAAAGAAAGGACCTTCGCACATAAGCTGTATGGAAATGTACCATGGACTCCCATCCTCAAAGAGCACCCCATGCATGACCTGAGATGGATGAGCCCAGAGAACATTACATGCTATATGAGATTAGCCAGTTACAAAACGAAAAACATATGATTCTACTGACATGGGGTACTTAGAGGCATCAAATTCATAGAGACAGAAAAAGAATAGCGGTTTCCAGGCACCAGGGGCAGGGAATGGAAATTTAATGAGGACAGGGCTTCTAGTTGGGGAGGATGAAGAAGCCCTTAGAGAAAGATGAAGGAGACAGCCACACAACAATGTGAATGTAGTCAGTACCACAGAACTGAGTACTCAAAAATGGTTACAACGGGTTAAGAAGTCTTTTGTATTTAACCAAAGATTGTTATAGCTAAAATGGTAGATTTTATATGTGCTTTATCATGAAAAATTACATACTTGCACAGTTCCGAGTCACAGGAGGTGGGCATGGGGGACTCCGAGCCTTTGTAGGTAGTTCTCAGACAGACAGCTACTGCCCCAACCCTCAGCTACTGAATTTGTGCTAATAAACCAAGGAAGCTAGAAGTTTCCCCAATCCCACTGCCCTCTGAACACATATGTGTGTATAGACTTCTCTCTCTTTAATGTCTAAGCTTCTAGGACTGCATTCTCTCCTCTGTGGCCCACAAAGTACCGAAGGAGGGGGTTGCACAGGCAGGACTTATGGCCATCTGTAATTTATCACCTGAGAGGGAGGCACTGGGTGCACAGAGCTGGAGAGACACTTGCACCAACCCAGTCATGCTTTTCAGGTAGAAATATGGGGCACCAGAAAGACTGCAGGGTCACTATGTGCCAGAAAGAACGGGGTTTCCCAGGCATGGGGCCATACACTTGTAATCCCAGCACTTGGGAGGCTGAGGTAGGAGGATTGCCTTGAGTTCAAGGCCTGTCTGGGGCCACACAGTGAGCTCAAGGCCAGCCTGAACTACATAATGAGACCCTGTCTCACAAACAAGAAAGGCAAAACAGGATCTCAGCTTTGCCACTTGCTGACTGCATCCTTACTTGTAAATGGGCAGCCCACTACCAGGTGATGAAAGAACTCATGAGGGGCGCTGGCATCATGCCTAGCACAGAGCAAAGCATGATGGTTTCAACTCCTTCTCTTGATCACCAGCAGCCTTCAACTCAGAAATGAGTGCACACTCATCCAAAGGGATTCTGAAGTCATGCGAGCCAAGCTACCACGTTTGCCACTGCAGCACACCAGGGTAACTTCTACCTTCTCCCATGCTGTAATTTCCCTCATGATTCCTTTCAAAGCCAGGAGGCCCCGCAGCCATCTGAAGGTCATCAGTAAACAGTCCAAACAGAGACTGACGGCTGAGCCAGTGCGGGATCCCTCCTTCCCTACCAGCCGCGTACGGTCACACGTCAGAGGAGATTGCTGGGAACACAGTGTAAAGGCTTCGGGGACTAAAACAACAGGAATTTTAAATTCTACTAGGACCCAAACCTGTAGGATGTACCCAAACTCAAAGTACAAACTGGGGGTGATAATGCAGGTTCGTAACTGTCACAAGTGTGCTTAGATGGTAGGCGATATTTACAATGGATGAGGTAGGGTAAAGAGTACCTGTGTACACATTTGCTGTGAACCTAAAAGTACTCTAAAAAATTGTCCTAAAGAATTAGCCAGTCAAGGTGGCACCCACTCCCCAATGCCAAAACTCTGGAGGCTGAGGCAGGAGGATGGCAAGTTCAAACCTAGCCTGGGCAACACAGCACCTACTGAGACCCTGTCTCAAAATAAAAAAATTAAAAAGAGGGCTGAGAATACAGCTTAATGCAAAGGTCCTGTGTTCAATCTTCAGCACCAGCCTCCTCAAATAAACAAATAGACAAGTAGAAAGAAATTCTGGAAAATACTGCAGTCTCTTTTAAATGATGTTAAGTTTTTTTTGTTTTGCTTTTTGAGACAGGGTCTCTTTATGCAATTCAGGGTGGCCTTGAACTCTTGGTGATCCTCCTGCCCCCAACCTCCTGAGTGCTGGGATTACACGCATGTGCCATGACAGCCAACTGTTTTAAAACCGTACAGTTCTTAAACACTAAAGATATATGAAGGAAAAAATAAAATCTAGTAAGAGGGAATACATGGGACCTTGAAGACATTCAGAGAAGGATCCAAGAAGTTCTAAAAGTTGTAAAATTAACTCCTCAGCTATCTGTTAGAACCTACCCCATGCCTCTCCTTTGAGGGCTCACTTTCTCCTAATTCTTACTGCCTTAAAGCCTGATGGTGGTGGTTAACATAGGTACAGGTATAAGGGCTGCAAGAAAGGCCAGGCTCAACTTGCTGGAAACTTAGAATTCCCTGCCTGCAAGAGAATATCATTTTAGACTTCAGGTCTTTTAGAAAAACCTTATTTTCTTCCTTTATTAATAATGTACTCCTATACCAAAGTGCTGGGGACCAGTTCAAGCTGGTTCACTCAGCCGACAGCTAGCAGGACACAGACGGTGCCCAGTAACCACAGGGCAATCCTCCAGACCCTTAAGGCGCTGATGTGCCTGCAAAGCAAGCCTGTGAATACTACAGCTTCTCATCGCCCCCACTAAGGACTTAGGGAATCCAGCTGGGCCAGGCCGCAGGCAGGTCTCAGCCACACACCACAGCCAACCCCAGCTGCAAATGGCAAATCAGCAAGTGGAAGTACCTAACACAAACAGGACAGAGTGCTGAGCACAAAAAGGCAGCTCGACAGAGCCAAAAATAGCCTCACTTGTTTCAAGAGGATTTTAACAAACACACAAGCAACTCCATCAGCAGAAAAAGAAAAAAAATCAATGAAGCAGAAAAGCGGATCAGACCAACTGGGAACAGGACTCCAAGACAGTCCCAAGTGCCTCACCGACTCCCACCACACCCAAACCCACCGGCCTACCCTGCTCCTCTTATGCCCGTTGCAAACTGTGTCTGGATCTTAAAACGTAGTCCCAAACACTTCATGGCCTCTGCACACAACACAGAAGTTATTGTACAATAGATTTAATCTTAGGGCTGGAGTCAGACCGCACATTGGGAGCTCAAAATAAGCACCTGTGGGTGCTCATGCTTGGGTAGATTGAGAGTCAGGAGAACAATGAAGGATCAGGAAGTAGGGTGGGTTAACACGCCCAGAGGATGCTACAGGTAAGAATGGGTGACACCTCCTATCAAAGGTAGGCAGATCAAAGCAGGTGTGGCTCTGCTTCAGTGCCAGATACAATCTGCATCTGGTTGATTTTCAGGGGCTCACGGAGTCAGAACTAGCTGTTGCCTCACTTCCTTCTGACTCCAATCTTCACCTGCTCCGACTTGCTAACAAGTGAATCTGACACTTCTATGGCTCGCAAACAGTGTCATGTAACCCTTCTAGGAAGAAATGGTGCATTTGCGGGGAATGTGCAAAACCCAGATCAGTCTTCATTGCAAGGTTGTGATCTAGGTGGCAAAAGTGACTTTATATCATCTTAAAGTGGCTTTATATCATTTTCACTTACCATCATAAAGAGACCACAGAGCACTGGACACCACAGGGCATCTCCCTCCCGATAAATGTACTTTCACCAGCAGTACAGCACTGCACAACCAGAGGAACAAGCCACTTGCCATGCGTTTTCTCAACCCTCCCAACAAAATCCCATTCCAAACCCTGGGAATCTGCATTGAGGAAGAAGGGGTGGAGTTAGCTCTGGTGCAAGATCAGCCATAAGCCACAAAGGCACTTGAAAATCATTCAAAAAGCATCTACCCACTTCTTCCTCAGAAACTTCCTTTGGTATTTTCTCTACCCCTTAGGAGTTTCCTGCCTAAATGCAGGTGGACTCACCCAAAGTGGCTCCAGGTACCCACCTGTGTCTCCATGGAAAGTGCTGTCCCCATCACTGGGCCAGATCTGCCCAGTCTTTCGGACACCTACAATGGTAGCCTCGGACACCACGACCTGGCACTGCCGCTGCCGCTTCTGGCACTGCGGTGTTGGAGGACTGCTGCTGTCAAAGGACTGCTGGGAGTTCTGTGAGGGTGATCGGCTCTTGTCCCGGAACATACGGTAGGTGGTGGGGCTTGGGGACACTCGGCTGGACTGTCCAGAAGAGAAATCTTCTTCACTGGAAGTGAGGTTTTCATTGGAGCTGCAGTCCGGGGTGTAGCCGCCTCCACTGTCCTCAAAGCTTCGGGGGGAGTAGGACCTTCGGGGCCAGGTGAGACGCTTCTCCTGCTCCGAGGTGCTCTGGCTGCGCAGGAGTGGGCCCTTGCCCTCCCCTTCCACCATCATACCCCCAACGTAGATGCTCTGGTAGGGCTGGTACTCCAGAGGCGGCCAAGGGGGCCTGCTGCCGCCATTGGCACTGATCAGGTTGTCCTTCAGGAAGCGGGGGTTCAACTCTGCATCCTCATAGTCACCGTCGAGGCCGCAGCTGCTCTCCGAAGAGCGCCCACGGTAATGGGGCCTGGACGCATCCCCCAGAGCAGATCCAGCGCCTTGCTGGGATTTCTTGCGCTCCATTTGCATGGCCTGGCTGCCCAGGGAACTGATCCGGTCCGACACCTCTTTGTCGTTGACTTTCACCAGGCCGCGCTCGTGGTGAAATTCGACGTTCACGTAGAACGGCTTCTCTGGGTCCGCGGCCCCAGGCTGTCCATGGCCTTTGCGGATCCTCTCGAAGTTGGACCTGAGCGCCGCTACGCTGGTGGGGGGCCCTCGGTCATCTCGGTCCGCGGGTGCGGCGGCCCCAGGCCTACGGGCGCTCGCCGGCCTGGCCTTACCTGGGGACCCTTCTCCTTCCGGACGGGCCTCGGGCTCCTCAGCAGGCGGTGGGTCGGTGCCGTCGGCGGGCGGGGGCGGCGGGCGCGGTGCGGGCGCACGAGGCTCGGCGTCGTCGTCGGGGGGCTGCGCGGCGCGCCGGAAGCCCCAACGCTGCCGGTCATAGCTCTTCTTCTCCTTGGCCAGCAGCGTCTGCAGGTAGATCATGCGGAAGCGCTCCTGGTTCACCTCCTGTTCCAGGCGCCGGATGGAGGCCTTGCAACGCTCCAGCTCCTGCTCGATGTCACCCACCGAGCGCAGCTCCATGCGCGGTGGCTCGGAGTCTGGGAACTGCGCCTTCCACGCCTCCGCGAAGCCCACGGGGTCCACCATGGCGCGGCCGCTCTCACCTGCGCCGCCCGGCTGCACGCGGAGCCCGCCTCAGCGGCGGCGCGGCG